GCTTGTTGTCCGGGCAGATGGTAAAGGATAGGGACAGGAAAAGGAAAGAGATGGGCCGGCTGATTTTCCCAGTCTTCAAATTTTAAATTTATTGTTTCTTAGAACTATATGAAGAGTCCTATTGATGTGAAGTATCACTGACAGTGGCACCAAAGGATATATAATAGTTCATAAAACTGGAGTGGGCAGGGACCTAAGGGGACAATTAGTCCAGCTCCCTCACTTTTTTGGTGAGGTTACCGAGGCCCAACTGGGAAAAGAGCAGGTTATTTCACAGGGTGATTGTCTCCATGACTATGTCCTTCAAAGATTCACAGAAACCCCCATTTTCCCTTGATAAAGGGCACTCCCTCTAATGGCTTCACATCAACAATTCTCCGTGTCCTTGGCTTTGACGTTACCTCCCTTTAGGGAAGCTGGCTGATAGCACAGCACTTTGACCGGAACAGACACTTGATGAACATTTGTTGAACTGAAATGATTCTACTGTTTATCCTTGCTGCAGAATCTTTTATTTGTCCTAGAGCACCTTACTTTTAAGGGATAACCTCGAGTTCAAGTATTTTGAGGTTTGGTGGCTAGTGCTATATTTGTCATCTCTCTCCATTTTCCCTTTTCATGTTGAATTTCTAACTTTTAAGTCTGTTCTTTTGTAGCTTTTCATTACACACTACTATTGCCTCTCTGCAGGCAGGGTAGTTTCTATCCATATAGGCCTGTAATTGCAAGCTCAGTGATACATTCCCTGCCCACCATTCTTAAACAAAACATGAGACTCTCAATCAGATTTGCGAAGGCACACTAGAAGAAATGTAAAACTCCATATTTTTTCCTTGAGTTAATACATGGGAAAATATTACTGATAACATTTGCTTTCTACTTCTTGTTCACTTTTTAATTCCTTAAATACATAAATACAAGTCAAATTTCATGTACAAAAAACACAATTAAGAAATGATGGAGAAATAGTGATTTGTGGGAAATTGGCAGACATCGGTAATATTTAGAAAACATCTTGAAAACCTGGTGAGAACCCCATGACTATTTTTATATAAAGAGCAGTCATGGTATGAATGGGACTTGGTATAAGTTGTTAAAGATTATTTGTTTACTAGGTGATTTTTTTTGTGTGTGGACTTAATTTTTTAGTCAGTTTTGTTTGAAATTCCTGTTAAATGGCATTAACATGGTCTAAAACTCTAGATATGCTAGAATTCACTTATGATCATCATCTGTAGAACCGTTAAAGTTACCAGTCCCAACTGGGAGAATTCTAAAAGTAGGCTCGGTGGCAATGCTTCCTACTGATTTTAATATTCCCAAGGCTTTTAAGAAACAATTTCAGATCATTCTGTGCTTTCCCACAACTAACCTCATAATGAGACTGAAAGCAGCTCTGAAATCATGATTTCATTTCACAAGTTTCATCCTTACCATCTCAGACCTCCATCTTCCTATGGTGACAAAATAAAGTACACAGTAACATTGGTCAGTGGTTAATGTTGGGGAAGCCAAAGACATAGCACAGCAAGACTGACCAGGCTTTCTCCTCCTGCTGACCATTCAAATGGGCAACACATGTCTGACTTGCAGGAACAAAACTGAATCAGTATCTTGACTCATGGATAGCATCTGTGCTATTGTATTTTGGGCACAAAAATGTTTTTCAATATGAATAAGGAAAACTGTAGTTTAAATTCAGCTGCACATTAAGACTTATGTGCTGACAGTCATTAGCTGACAGTGGAAGCAGGAATAAAAGAAAAAATTTAAGTCTTCCAGGAAAGAAAGCATGCTTACTTGTTTTAATAGAAGTATTTGATGATAAGTAAGGGGTACATATCTTAGAGTTTCAGGGTCAGTGTGCATTCAGCAAATATTTATTAAATACCTAATAATTTCTTTTTTTCTTTTTTTTAAAGTAGTCTCTACACTGAACATGGGACTTGAACTCATGTCCCTGAGATCAAGAGTTGCATGCCTAGGTGCCTGCTTGGCTCAGCTGATTAAGTGTTTGACTCTTCATTTCTGCTCTGGTCATGATCTCATGGTTCGTGAGTTCGAGCCCTGTGCTGGGCTCTGGGTTGACAGAACAGAACCTGCTTGATATTCTTTCTCTCCCTCTGTCTCTACACATTCCCTGCTGCGCGTGCTCTCTCTCTCAAAATAAATAAAATAAAACTTAAAAAAAAGTTGCATGCTCAACTGAGCCATCCTGGCGCCCCCTATTGATTTCCTTTTATTTCACTAATATATGTTTGTCCCATCTGCAAGGATTTAAGGTGGCTGAAACCTTTCCCAAGCTTTGTCCTGGATACTGAACACAAAGAATAAGATATATTCCTTTCCATTATGGATAGTATTTCTTGGGGACATTAATTTCTATGGAAATAAACTCTTGCTCTCACCCACTGGATTTGAATAGAAATTACTCCCATTTCAAATAAGAAATATATTACATTAAAAAAGCTCTCAAGGGTTATGAGTCCTGACAAAAATGCCGCCATGCTGAGAGTGGGGAAAGAACCAAATGAAAAAAAATTTCCCAGATAATATGTAATATAAGTGAAATGCAAAATTTTGAGAAGAAATAACTAGTATTATGTTTACAGGAGTGGCAAAGAGGGTTTAATGGCTCCCCACAAAATACCTTAAATTCTCTTCTTTGACATATCGTAACAAGTACATTTCTTATCCTCTTTTACTATAAAGTCACAAAGCAAGCCATCAGACTCAAAAGAAAGCATAGCTCTTAATGTCATGTGACATCTAATTTATATTCTAATAGTAATACTATGTATTGGCAAAATGAATTTACTTTTAATATCTTCACATTATTGATAACCTAGACAAGGACTATTTGTGACCACACACACACACACACACACACACACACACACAGAGTCCAGGTCCAGGGTAGTAAACTTAGAAATCTGCACACCAGAAAGGTAATTTGCCTGTGTTTTCTATGTAGGCTGTTAACAAAACACTAGGTCTAAAAATAGATAGTATGATATTCCCCAAAGTCCCAAATGCTACCCATAATCAGTTTCCCAAAAATAGTAGTGGGAAAGCAAATTTGATGATATCAAGGTGATAGGTTTTAAAAAAAATTATTATTAATAATAATTTGCTTGCTGAATGCAGATAGCATGGAAAGGATTTTCCTAACCCTCAGTTTAAAGAAAAAAATCCACATAAAAGCACAAAGGCAAGGAGAATTAACTAAGACGGGGAGAAACTGTCCAACAGGCAACATGCATGTGACTCTGGCAAGTGAGGCAGAGATCTCGACAGGGTGCGCAGGTGCTAACGCTGGGTAAGGAAGGCACCAGAATGACCTTCACCTTGCCTTTGTTCAAGTTCTTCAGCTCATCTTGATGTTTCTAGAAGGAATCTCATGTGCCTTTCATACAACAGGGGAAGGGCTCTGCCTCACTTGGTAAAGACCTCCGGGGAATCCCAAGATATTCAAAGAGCTTACAAAAACCACTTACTGAAGAGAAAACAGCTACACTTAGAGAGTCCTGTTACTATGGAGATTAACCTACATGTAAAAGGGAACTTGGGAGTCATCCAGCCCCAATCCAGTGTCCCTTTCACAGCACCTGGGATGGATGGCTATTTTAACCTTTGTTTGGGCATTTGCAGCAATAGGAAATCTTACTACACAAGTCTTTTCCCGTTTAGAACCACCACATTTAGAACCTCTTGTTAGAAAATTCTTTCTGATGTTGAAGCAAACATTTGTCATCTATAAAGGTTCCTCTTTGTTCCTCTTTTGCCCTTTGAAGTTACACAGGTAAGTCTAATTCTTCTCCCTTTTTATAACTCAATGGAAATTTCAAGGCAGCTATATTATTTTATTCTCTCCTATTCAATTCCTCTGTCCCTTATGTAATCAGACCCTTCACAACCCTGGTCACCTGCCTCTGGACACAATTTATTAATGTCTCTCTTAAAACAGTACCCACAATTGAATCCAACCCTCCATCCAGATGTGGACTGCCCAATGCAGCATGCAGAGTGCCTGAGGCTTCTGTTACCACAGGCTGAATGCGTTAACTTTGCGAATAGTCACCATACACTCCTAATTCAAAACTGAACTCCCGTTTCCTAAGAAAGAATTTCTACAGGAACTGTTGTGAAACAATGGCTTTTCAGCACCCTTCCCATCAACACACATATAGGTAATACCACTCTGTATTTAGAAGGTTATATTTTAAGCAACTCAGAATATGGTGTTTTGTTAATGCCTTACTGAATTTCATCCTTTTACTTTCAGTCTTATACAGGTATTTAAAAAAAAAATGTAATGATGTCTATGTTCTAGTGTCAGTACATGGTTATACTTCAGTGAAAATTCACTGGATAAATTAATCCCAAACCTGCCAGTGGAGATTGGATATGTCATTTATTTCTCTGTGTCATCTGACAAATCTTATAGGTATGCTTTCTGTCCCCTTCCTCTATTCTTCACGGGAGAAGTAGGCAGATAGGACCAGCCTTTAAGTTGTTAAGCAGGTATCCCCTTTGGAATGGATGATATAGTTCCTTGTATGGTAAGAAAACACCAAGATAGAAATAAGAAGTGGAAGTACAGGGGCGCCTGGGTGGCTTAGTCGGTTGAGCGTCCGACTTTCGCTTAGGTCATGATCTCACAGTTCGTGGGTTCGAGCCCCGCGTCGGGCTCTGTGCTGGCTGCCAGCTCAGAGCCTGGAGCCTGTTTCAGAGTCTGTGACTCCCTCTCTCTCTGACCCTTCCCTGCTCTCACTGTCTCTCTCTCTCTCCTAGAAATAAATAAAAATATTAAAAAAAAAAAATCAATTGTTATTTTGATACACTTGTAATGAACTATCCAAAAATGAAATTAAGAAAATAATTTCATTCACAATAANCTGCCAGCTCAGAGCCTGGAGCCTGTTTCAGAGTCTGTGACTCCCTCTCTCTCTGACCTTCCCCTGCTCACGCTGTCTCTCTCTCTCCTAGAAATAAAAACATTCAAAAAAAAAAAAAAAAAAAGAAGTGGAAGTACAGAATATAAACAGGAACAGATGAAGGGAAAGAAGACTGAGTGTCCCAGACTCTTGGAATCAGATTTAATGTTCCCAACATTAGAAAAATAGGGCTTTCCCCCATTTCTACCCTACAGTCTTCTGCCTTTACAGTCTTCTATCAATAATACTGTGATTATCAAATTCTGAATTTGGGAGGAAAGCTCATATAAGCTTAGTTTTAAAACAGCTTTTAAAATTATTTTTTCCACTTATAATTCCTGTAAAGTCTGAATTAAAGAGACAAGCAACTGTTAATAGGCTTGAGGTATAAAAAGAGCTCCCAAATGCCCTGACAAATGCCTGAGGTATAATTATCTATCTACCTACCTACCTACCTACCTACCTACCTATCTCCATTTGTTTCAGGAACAGAAATGGCCTGCATTTTTCAGCATGAATTTGGGAATTCTCTGAGATTGAAGTTGTTTCCTGAATTGAATATAATGTTACAATTAAAGTCCCTTTTCCTCAGAATGAAGAGAAATCAGCTCAGTTTTGCTTTCCCTTCAATAGCCACCCTTTGCAGAATGCGGGGCTAACCACAGAATAAAAAAGTGTCCTATTGTGCCTTTTTTTCCATTGTCTATTGTGACTCAGGGTGGTTAACCCTGGGACCAGAGAGATGGAAAAAGTGTTTTAATCAAAACCACCCAGAACTGGGAGGGAAACGTCTTGAAAACTTGAGTTGCATAGTGTTAACACTTAAAGAATGGAGACACATACAAAGAGCCTAGTAGACCCGAAGAGGAAGTCTGTTTTGTACCTCTTTTGAACCTTTTTCTAGAGGGAGTGACAGAGGTGGATTCTTACTGAACTTTCTAAAGGCTGGGTTTTCTAGAAGATCATGTAAGTGAAAGATGAGTATCAGAAGGAAATGGGGCCAACACTCATGTGGAAGGTTCTTTTCCTGACTCCAACAGTCACAGCAAACCACACCCAACTGCCGTGAGATAAGCAGAGGGAAGAAAAGGAGGCTTAATTAGACAAGAAGCTCCAAAAGTCAGGTGAACTGGGTGCATCACCAGGCATATCAGGGTCTCTACAAAGCAACCACCTCCAGGTTTCCTGTTAAAATACAGGGAACTACAAAAGGAAGGTCCAATATACTGTTCCCAACATGGAGTAGCCATGGTAGGTACTGACTTGAACTTCAGCTATTCATGGGTCATGGGTAGGGCTCTGTCACTGGACCCCACACTCCTTGGGATTTTCCATTTCATCTCCTTCAGAGTCTGGCTTCAAACTCTTCTTTTGCTCAATTTCCACCTGCCAAGAATAGAAGTAGGAGAGAAATATCAGAAAGAGGAGAAAAACATCCCAATAATAAATATTCCCAAAGAGAATAGCTCACCAGGTTATTTGAGATTCCCCGCAATTTTGTTAATGTTTTGGGCTTTAGTCACACTGGAGCCACTGGCCCTGAGTATATTAGGATTGTCTCTTTGCTTGCTCTGGAATTCCCTCTTCCTCACAGTCCACCTGGAAAATTCTTGTTCTTTGCCTTGCACAATTGTTCAAAGGTCACCTTGAGTCACGTTCCTGAGTCATTAGGTAGAGTGAGCTGTTCCTCCTGGGCATATTTCCACGGCTCTGGTACACTTGCCTGGCTGCCCCCTCTAGGCCCCGTAAGACAGGGGCTGGCCCTTGTTGGCTACTGTATCCCAATAATGTAAGTATACAGCAGGCAAGCACAAAGGTTTATCAAATGAATGAACTCCTTTCCAAGTGGCTGTTTATACTCTCTATTCCTTTATCTCTTTACAAAGTCTCCAAACTGTTAAGTATTATAGTGTTTCTAGCTCTTCCTATGTCTCCTGCAAAATATGGTAGCCGTAACTATAAAGGTATTAATAAATTCATCTTGCCTTGAAAGTGACACACACGGAAGCCTTGGACAAGAAAGAAGGAAATCTATCCAAGCTAGAGAGTTTCATAATTAAAGCTGCTCTTCTCTTCACCACTTTGGATATTTATGATGAAGGAAACAAAGAAAAAACAGAGGGTCATGCTTGATGAAAGTGCTATATTTTCCCTGGCCACAAGATGGAGTATTTGTTCTTTTTGGTAGGTTAAGAACAATAAATAACCCTAAAAACTAAGGTTATTATTATGACTTTAAAAATTATTAAAACACTTAGCCAAAAAATTCTTCAATAACCCCCATTTTCTATCTTTGGCATTTAATCTGCTATTGAATTTATAATGCGTGAAGATAGAATCACTACTTACGCCAGTACACTCCAACTTAGATTCCTCCCTCCACAGCCCTTATCTTGTTACTATTACAGAAACTTGCTTGGCTTTTGAATTTTGTCCTGTTATAGCCCAGTCACCAGGTCACATGTGTCCTGACTTTACTCGGATCTATTTTATCAACTCTGAAGCTGAATGAAATACAGGCTTTGGGTTAGCACTCTCCCGAACTCCCCTCCCCTTTCAAGTTCACAACTTCTGCAACATGTTATGAAGGAGTAATAATAACTCCTTTACTCCATGAACTTTTTGTTGTTGTTCATGATGACTGAAAGACATTCTACTCTCCTCTTTCATTCACCTCTTTATTTTTTCCCAACCTTTCTCTTGCTCACTAGTGAGACTATACATTCGAATCAGAGCGGACTCATCCGCAGCTGTGTATGGGGTGCCTCTCTCTAAGGCAGTTAGAGAACACCCTGCATCCAAGGGGGGCACTGCTAAAGGGAACGAGACTGGGGAGGGTAAGGTGGGGAGCAAATGGATGTGGAAACATTAGCGAGACGCCTCCCGAGGCTACCTTGTAGCTGTAGTGTGCGGAATAATTGACCCACTTCCTGACGTCAGTCTTGTCTTCCACAGAGACGGATCGTACAGCCGCTTTAGAGGCAGAAGTTGTGGGCATGCTGAACTCAACATTCACGTGACTGGCAAATCTGGAAGGCACTTCCCGGTCAGAGCCAAGTTCAAGGTGGCAGAAGAAACAGTGTGGGTGACCAGAAGCTATGAAAGCAAAAAAGAGTTTAGACATTAGGTTCTTGGGGGGTGGGGGGACACGGAAGAAGAGGCCAAAAGAGCCACCTCCATAACAAAGGAGGCAAAAGACTGCCTGCAGGCTCAGAGCCAGGCAGTTCAATGCTGAGCACTGGTCCAAGGCTGAGCAGAGGATTTACCTCAACAGAAATCACACTGCCTCTGGCTCAGACCCTTCTGATGACAGTAGCCTTGCATCCTAGCAATAAAACCCACTGCCTGCCAACCCCACTCAGGTCAGGGGGATAATGGGAACACAGCACAAATACTAAGATGGAGAGGCTGTAAACTGGCAGAAACGGATAAAAGGGCTCAGAACTTAGCACCTAATAAAGCATCAATGACAGTCACATGGAGCAAAATAATCAATTCCCTTTGAAAGATGAATTTTCTTTTTTTTAATTAACAATTTTTTAATGTTTATTTTAGAAAGAGAGAGAGAGAGAGAGGGAGGAGAGGGGCAGGAGCAGAGAGAGAGGGAGACACAGAATCTAAAGCAGGCTCCAGGCTCTGAGCTGTCAGCACAGAGCCCGATGTGGGGCTGGAACTCATGAGTTGCAAGATCATGACATGAGCGGAAGCTGGACACTTAACTGACTGAACCACCCAGGTACCCAAAAAGATGAATTTTCTTAATGTCAGCCTGTATTTTTACAAAAATGCTTTGGCATGTTTTTGTGGGTAAATGGCATATGTAAATGATGGGGCCCTCATAAACAACAGGTATGCATTAAAGGAAGCGCATGGTATGCTGGGTAGAACACACTAACAGGACACCAAGTCTGACTTCTAGCTTTCCTGCTAAGTGGCAGAAATCCTGCACCCAAGTCCTTTGTTCTCTCCAGGCTTCGTCCTTTAATTCTTTAAATCTATGGCTTGTTCTAGTGTATGTGGATGGAAAACTTAAGCATTTCCATTTGAGGACTGGTATTAGCTGAGTGAAAAGAGAGCTAGTTCTGTGACTATAACCTTTGAAGCATCATTGTTTGCTGAGTATTCTGTACTGTCCCAGCTGCTGTGTGTACACCCTCTCCCCACATCTTCATAACCATCCCTTGAGGTCACAGCCATTACATTCTACAGATGAGGCAACAGAGGCTTGGGTGGGAGGTGGGTGCGGAGGTAAAGAGAACCGCTCAGTCAAAACCAGAAAGTGGCAGACTGAAAACTGAACCCAAGCACTCAGATTCCAAAGTGATTTGGCTGCTTTGTCTGAGTCACAGCCTCCCTTATGGTCCCCAACCTCAAGATCAGGCTTTGCAGGGTGACATGAGTGAGAGGTGAGCTGTGAGAAGCCCTGTCCCGTAAGTCACCATGGATAACCACGTGACACAGCTTTGACTTCGTTATGTAAGAGCAAAAGTCCTTAGTTATCTGAGCTTCCCCAAATAAACAACTCCAATTTTCTTTATTGGTCTGGACGGGCCTTTTTAATCTCAGAGAGTGAGGACACGCACACCCGCTCTCCAAGGAAAACATCACGGAGTGAAGTATTTGTTTTGCTCTATTTCACAAATAACATATTTCAACGGTTATTTCTAAAGAGTAATACTTTGGGAAATTGAGAAACTTATTCTCGTTTCTAGAAAAGAAATTTGATACATATAATAGTGAAAATTACATTATCTAAAAATGAATCCACATGATTTTTAAAAAATTACCACTGGAATTACATAGTTATCAGTTATTGAGCATTTCTTACAAGCCAGAGACTGTACTAAACACTTAAAGGCATTGTCTAATTTCTTTCCTAATGAGCTAGGTATTAATAACGCTCTTCTGTAAATGAGGAAAAAAAGATTTCTCTGAGAGGTTTAAGTAAATGGCCTGAGGTCACACAGCCACTAAATTGCAGCACTGGGAATAAAACTCAGATCTGACAGATTCCAACTTATGTCCTAAACGCCTCTCAATATATTGCTATAGATTTAGATTGCTTTGAAGTACATAGAGAAGTTTAATTCAATGGCAACTTGAACAACAGTTTTACCTAATTACCCTTATTTAAACATTGTCAGAATACTGAAAAATCATTACTTTCCACAAAGCAGACCCCCTCCTCTCATCCTCCAAAGTATATTCACAGCAAACCCTATGAAAGCAGTATTCCCTCTGGATTCCGGGCGCCCACTAATGGATGTATGAGGTGGGGGACAGTTAGGGATATGCAATTCTGCAAGCTAGTACAGTTTGACTTATGGTAATGAACTACATGAACCCACACATTTTGTCATCTTCCCTGATGAAACTGAGAAAATTTAACATTAAAATTCAGATTTCTGTTTTCCATAAAAGGTGAATTACATTGAAATCATTTTCTCTTGGTCTAATATTAGAGAACTGGACTTCCAGCAAAGAAAGCTACCTGTGCAAGAGAGAATGCTGTTTCCCGGTGGAAGATCTGGGAAAGCAGGAGGACTTGTTCTGGTGCCTTCTAGGATTAAGAAAAGCTCTTGGGGTCAGGGTGAAAAGGGTCCCTGAAGAGACTTGAGGGGGATGGGGAGGGGGGCTGTACATGCACACAGTTGGGCTAGGCCCACCACTTCCGGCCACACTGGACTCCAATGGCAGGTTGTTAGTCTTTTGGTGGCTGGGATTGGGACGAGCCTGCTGTGGCTGCAGCGTCAGGTGCCAGCAAACCAGGGGTAGAGACCCGCAGACCCATGCTGCCTGTGGTCTGACTGCCCTGCCTGCTGGAGGTTAGGGATACGTGGCCGCTGCAGGTGGAAGTGAGCATGCAGAGGCCCAGGCTCTCCTTTACTGTAAACAGAGGTGTGAGAATTATGGAAAATAACCTGTAAAAGGCACCTTCCTAAGGTTGTCTGAAGACCAAGATAGAGGAGCTCAGCAAAGGGATGACTACTAATCGCTCAATTCTATGGTTTCATGGAGGGCACACTGAATGGGGGAGGGGCCGGTCCCAGGGAGCACCAGCAATGCTAAGAACCCATCATCTGACTGTAATTCAGACTCTGTGCGTCTCAAGTTGCCAGAAAAGGGTGTTATCAATTTCCTGAACAGATCCAGAAATAAACCATTGGCCAGGAGTAGTAGAAGGAGCCCTTTTTGGGGCTTTTGCCACTAAAAATGTATAACCATGGATAACAAAAGCAAAGATGAGGGGGTAGCTTAACTGAGAAACATTCTCCAGTATCTTTATGCTGTCCTGGATTTCAAAAATCTTTCACAAACCAAGGTTCCAGTAGTCAGGAAACACATTTGTAATACAAGCTGCATTAACTTGGCCTTGAGCCTGCTGAACACTAACCTGCTGGGAAAGCATTAGAGTGTGTTTGCTGAAGACCTATATTTACCCTTGTCCTGCGTCCACTCCCCCTTTTCTTCTGGAAACAATCTTTTTTCCCCCTCCCTCTGCTTTGGGAGATAATCTTCCCCAGCACTGCATGTTAGTTTGGAGGTCATGTCAGTCAAAATGCGCTGTCCTCCCCTTGACTCTTGACAGAAAACGGCTTGTGATGATTTATGCCGATGGCTGCCGTCTGAGGAGGCGTCTCACAGCTCTGCTTTCAAGAGCCATCCTTCCTATGCCTATTCGCTCAACCTTCCCAGCATTCTGCGCTCTGAGCTATTCACCAACAATCTTTTTTTTTTTTTGTCTTTGCTGCTTATAACCATCATATAGTACTTTTAAATATTTGAGAGAAAGAACGTTGAAGCAAATGAGATAGAGGTGTACACACTGAGAAAACTGAAAATCTCTCTTCTCTTAGAGGAAGTTACTTCATGTTGTGTCTGTTGAGTGTCCTCTACTAAGAGGCAGCTGTGGTATTGAAAAAAGACCCCTGGATGTGGCTTTGTGACTTCAGGTAAGTCTGTCACTCTCGGTCCTTAATTTTCTCATCTGTAGAATAAAGAGGTTTGACTTAAGTTATCCCCAAGGCCCCTTCCAGCTTGAAGACTCAGTAATTCCATAATGAAGTTATATCTGAATCCATACCCAACAAACTGAAGAGCCAAGCATTCCAACATAAACCTGTGGCCTTGTCTTTCTGATGTCAAGTCTCCAGCAGGTTAAACAGTAGTTTGCTTCCTACCACCTCAGCTCTCTTCTCAGGGGCTTCTGTGCCAAAGGAGAGTTCAGGGCTTCTCCTTTCCTCCGTCAGTTCAGGTGGGCCCCGTGGCTGAGGTGGAAATCACCGTGCCATCACTAGGAGAACACAGTGCTGATTCAGGAGAAACAACTAAGCAAGCACAGAGAGGAAGACTTTGTTTTTAAAAATCCTGTCAGTTTAGGAATGGCGAGGTGGGGGATGGCCAATGCAGCCTCAAACACAGAGGTCCAATTGTCTTTTCATTTTGCACCACTACACCCAGTGTCTGACACAGAATGCCCCGGTGTGTTCCACCGCCTGGACTGCGTGGGGAGGTGACCAGATCGTACTGTCCCTCACCATCACATCGTGATACATTTTGGGTATGATAACACAGCCCCTCCACCCTCAAAACAGGAAATGAAGACTCTAAACATACTGGTAGGATTTAATAGTGAGAATGGGAGAAGAATATCTGCATAAAAGAAGGACATTTCCATCAAGAGTTTTTCCAAACCTTACTCCTTTTGCTCGGCTTAGGATATCTACTGTTGTTAACAAATGGGCAAACTTTATTATAAACAAGAAGAGAAGTGCTTTAAAGGATCACAGGATGGTGGGCTTACTGCCTGTCACAGGAGTCACTCAGACTTCCTCTAAGAAATAGGGCTATTAGAGCTAGTTGGATCACTCCCTAGTTTTGTCATTTCATTAAATTCACTGGACCCCTGAGGCAAGTCATTGCCTTCTGTGCTCACTCAAGCACAAAAGCACCCCTGACAGCTATGAGTAAGCCAGCTAGGGCTGGTTAGCTTGCTTTCTTTGTCTAATTCAAACATACCTTCCTTTACGTATTTATTTGTCTGACAGAATTTCAGCCCTATTGGACCTTCTGGTCCTGGCTGGATCTCCAGTCTCATTAGAACTTTTCTCCTCTTCCTCCATCCTCAAATCGCAACTCTTGAGTTGGAGATGTTTTGACTGACAGGTCTTGCACAGGGTGACTGGAACCTCAAATTGAACTCAGAAAGATACCTCTTCAAAACCCAGAAGCCTTCTAGGCTCTGAAAACAGCTTCCAGCACCACATATAATACTTATATGAATCAGAAAAGAAACCAAACTCATAAGCTTCCCTGGAAATCTGCTTAGCACCTCAACAGAGAAGAATAATGCATAGTTTTCTGGAAGAAATGGAGTGAACTGGGTCATTCATGTTTGTTCCTTACTCTCCACAAGTATTATTAATTTTCTGGTCCCATTCCTCCATCACCATTTGTCACCCAACCAAAACCAGCACTTCCTAGGGGAAGAGAATGTGGAACTTTGACCCCTGGTCTTCTGTAACCAGGTGGCAGTTTTTACAGAAGGGAAATCTGTACCTACCTGAGTTTTTGTCAGGCAGTCGGTTTATCCTCCACACAATGGAGTTGAAGGCATGCTCATACTTGGCAGTTCCCAGGGTTACTCTCATGACAGGCTCAGAGCCAGATACACTAGTTGAGCCAAAACTTGCCCCCCGGTTCACTTTGGCTTTTAGAGACTTTTCCCCGAGGACACTTTCCCTGCGGAAGTTTTTCACCCACTCACTGGGCACAGGGTAACGAACCATCACATTCTCACAGGGAACCTGGGTGAGGGGGTCTCGGTTAGAGGAGAAGCCTGTTGACATCCTCAGCCAGCTCTGCACCTCCACCTCTGCCCCATTGATGCTTGCTGCTGTCCTGAGTGTGAAAGGCAAGGTCTTCTCTGCAAATACTGTCCTGAACCGCATTAGCTCAAACCGGCAGGCATCTAAAGGGTTGAACAGAATAACCCGCGAGGTGTTGAATACATCCTCATCCACACACCCATGAAAACGGCACTGATGGAGCTTGATCCACTTTGTGGTGGTGGTGGGCATGATGTCCTGCCGGGAAACAATTTCATTACCTTTGACAAGGACATCGTTGAGGCCCAAGCGGCACTCTGCAAGCCCAGAAAGGAAACTCAGAATGTGGATCCGTGTCAAGACATGGTGCTGGAGAATCTGGTTGTCTCCCTTGCTTACAATGCCAGAGAATTCATCCCTGACATCCACAGTAATCTCCTCCTCAAGGTAGTTCAAGCCCACTGTACTCAAGTCCATTGACAACACTGGCAGATTCATGAGCCGGTCCTGAATGGCTCGGATGAAACTCAGGAAGTCATCGTAATTGGTGGTGCCCAGCTTGATCACTTGTTCCCTCTCTGCCGTGTGGGCCACAGCAGGTTTGGGCTGGTATTTCTTCTTCTCCTTGTAGGTGACACGGTCTATTCGCAAGCTGTGGATCCTGCCATTCTCGTCATAGTTTTGGAGCCGGGGTTCTGAAATTTCATGGCAGCTCTCCAGCTTGAACTCGCGGAATGGTTTTTCTAGGCCCTGCTCATAATACAGCTGCAAGTAACCACTGTCTGTCAGTTTGATGTAGATGGGTCCCCAGTGCCTAGATGACATGATGTTTTTCTTCTCAGGGATCCTTAGCATCATTGGCCATCCATCCCTGGGCTGGGACAGCACTGAACCAGGTGGGTGGTCATCTAGTTCAATCCAGGCTTTCGGGTCATCATCTGGTAGTGTTGCACTGCTTAAGTGATCAGGATCTTCTATCTGAAGTTGCTTGAGTTTTTCAACGGCATCAGAGTGTGACTGGTTTTTGCTTGAGTCATTAAAACTGATGGCATCCTGGTAGATGACAATGAGAGACTCTCTTTGGCTTTTGCCGGTGGCACTGGAAACAGAACTGTTTTGGGACCGCCTCTCCTGCTCCTCAAAGAAAGCAATGAAAGGGTTGATGGGGGAGGGCTGTACATCCTGCAGAGTCTCATTCAGGAAAGGATTGGTTGCCCTCCACGGTGGCGGAGTCTCGGTTATGGAAGGTGGATGGTTTAAGGAGGAAATGTCCAGCTTCTGAACTTTGGAAAAGTTCATCAGTGTGCTCTTGGGACGTTCCCTCTTCTTAAATGACCCAGCTGAGTGATAAGGTACATCTGGGATCACAGATGCGGTAGGTGGTGGGTTTGGCTTCAGGGGAGAGGTGACAGGTGGCAAAGGGCAGCTGACTTCATTGTCATCAAAAGTGACCCAGCTGGGGAAACGAGCAGGAGTCACCGGAGTTGCAGAGTGTCCATTCATGGCTGGACTAGTGGGTGGCCAGCTGACGGCCTCCATCTCTACCTCTTCATCTTCCTGGAGTGAGGAAGAACTGTCTAAAAGAAAAATGAGAGCATATGAGGGCTGCTATTCAGGGCCTCTAGAAGTATGGGAAACAGGTATGGGAAAGAAGAGTGACTAGAATTTTATCAGGAATCTGATAAATTCCAAAGCAGCTCACTACCAGTCTCAAGTGCTAATCTGGCACAGAATCTCATAATTTTATAATAAGCACACCAAAGGGGCCACATATCAAATGCAGGAAGAATACAAATAGGTCTATCAATACAGAAGCACTGATAGGTCCAAGGTCCCTTGCAGTTTAACTCTTATACATTCTCCATTTAATAGAAGTTTCTAGAATAGAGTTTTTTTTTTTTACTATGCTCTAAAGTATGTATTCTTAATTCTTAGACATTGAAAACTACCTTCTACATAAAATGATATAAAGCTGATTTCATTTGACAAAACAAGTTATCTGTTCTAAGTGATATGATTACAAATAATGTAATTGGAGGGAATTTGCCCAAATGTGATCAATAAATATTAAAAATAAAATGTTAACATCCTTACTATGAAATAAGTTCATATAAGTAAATAAGAAGACTATAAAAACTCCAATAGAAATATAGACAAAGAATATATACAGACAGCTCAGGAGAGAGAAACTAAAAATGTCTAATAAGCATGTGAAAAATTTCCAGTCTCACTAGAAAGAAGAAAAAATGCAAATTAAAGACGATCAGTGAAGATTCTTAAAGTTTTTAGTCTTTAGTGAGGGTAAGAGTACTAAGATGTGAACAGTAAATATACCTTTAATGGGACTTTAAGTTGCTACAAATTCTCTGAAAGTGGTTTGGCCATTTGTATTAAGGGTCTTACAAATGTGCATAAATAATAACTTTGTAATTCTTCCCTAAGGAAATAAATCTAAACTGTGCACCAAGTTTTGGGCAAATGTTAAGGTACAGCCATTAAAATGTTTACAAGTATGCAATAACATGAGGAAATACTCATAATATAATTTCTTCTATTTTCTCTAAAATGCTTTTCCATCTTGGAGTTTAAAAAATTATTTTATGGGGAAAAAAAGTGTTATATTACAAATAAAACTCCACCCCAGCATGGGTGGAATAAAAGGAAAGGGATATAGGACTTGAGTTTCCATGAGGGAAAGATCCAAAACTTTCAGTTAGCATCAAGACCCTGTGTCTATGGGGATTGTGGGAAGGGAGGGGAAAGTGAAGCCTTTAGGAAGGAGTGGATTCTTTTTTTTTTTTTAATAATTTTTAAAACTGTTTAGTTTTGAGAGAGAGAGAGAGACAGAGCATGAGCAGGGGAGGGGCAGAAAGAGAGAGAAGGAGACACAGAATCCAAAGCAGGCTCCAGTCTCCAAGCTGTCAGCACAGAGCCCGACGTGGGGCTCGAACTCATGAACCATGAGATCATGACCTGAGCCAAAGTCGGATGCCCAACGTACAAGGCCACCCAAGCGCCCCAGCAAGGAGTGGATTCTGATGAAGGAGTAGCAGAGAAAACAAATCTGTGTCTGGCATCCAGCAGATATTCAGTAAAAGTGTTGAGTGAATGAGTGAGAAAAGAGACTTTGCATTGGAGCAGTTCTATTTTCTCTGTCCCTGGAGCAATGTGTATGGGGCCCTCTGCCACCCTTCTACCCACTGTTTCTATCACCAGTAATATGGCATGAAAGAGAAATGGATGCTCAGTGGTTGAGTCAAGCAGTTGAGTTTTCTGACCACTTCACTTAACTGTCATGAATGTCATATCCAACCAAACCAAACCAATAATGCTGCACATAACTGGAAGTAGAGTCACACGTGGAGGGGATGGCTGCTTGTCATGCATCTTTTCAAGTGTATTTATTTATTCAAATAGCAATCCTCTCTACTGAAAACATCACTTTGAAAATGTAGGCTAAATATATGAGCATGCATACATACATATCCACATTCACCCCATAAATATAATGAGCCAAAAAGTATTTTCTATATGCACAGAACCACAAAAGGATTCTGAAGCATTTTACTGTTTTAAAATTTACTTTGAGAGAGAGTAGGGGAGGGGCAGAGAGAGGGGTAGAGACAGAATCCCAAGCAGGTTCTGCACTGTCAGAGCAAGCCCGATGCAGGGCTCGAACCCACGAACCATGAGATCACGACCTGAGCTGAAGTCAGATGCTTAACCGACAGAGACACCCAGGAGCCCCTCAAAACATTTTAAAGTTAAAAACAAGACTTCCTTTCAAATTAATCATTAATGTACTTTTGTAGATGTGTGGTTTATTTTCTGGAAAATGAAGGGAAAAGGGTCAAGAAACAGGTTTGTAAGATTTATTATTTTATTTATTATTATTATTATCCTTATCACTACTACCACAGCAGCAACTACTACTGTTATCATAATGAAGGCTAAAGGGAACAGTGTGGCCCGGAGTAAAATATAATCACTTCCTTGAACCCTCCCTAGACAACTGGAGTTGCATCTCAAAACCTCAATTCCTTATGAAGCTGCTCTAAGAAGCTTTTGTGACCTCAGTGCTCCCACCCAAACAGCCTGGTAGTGACCCAGCCCCTGTGGGGGGATATCCTTGTGGCCTTGGGGTTCATGACCACTCACTCCCTCGGTTAAACAAGCCAAGTCCTTTTCCTCTGGAGGGTGCTTTTCTGCCAAAGCTGTTTATTCTTGCTGCCAAAGGATTCCCTTCTGTTGGGAATCCTGTCCCTAAAATAGCATTTCTCATTTTCCTCTATGAAGCCAAAAAAGAAGGGGTGGGGGTGGGGAAAAAAAAGGGGGCTTTGTCTCCACTAGACACAATTTTCTTACAATAAATTCCTTTTCAAATGAAGCTATTTAAAATCACACCAAGTTCTAGATGGTTTTAAAGCATTAGACTTGGAATACAATTTAAATGAAGTTTCTTTAAATCTGGAGGGAAAGTTTTTAATTAATTTCTAGAGATTCTATATTCTCTTTGATGGCCATTAAAAAAGTATTAAAAGACTTTGTTACAAAATATTCTCTCCTTTGGCAGTTTCATCTCCCATGATTACAAACTGCTTTAAAAATTCATTATTTTAGGGCAGTAGTGGGTCATAGGTCAAATTTCTGGAAATGGGATTATTTTCCCCCTACAAAATCATTTATTAAAAAAAAAATGTCTTGTGGGCAGTTGGGTGGCTCAGGCGGTTAAGTATCCTACTCTTGGTTTTGGCTCAGGTTATGATCTCAAGGTTCATGAGTTTAAGTCCCTGCATTGGGCTCTGTGCTGACAGTACAGAGCCTGCTTCGGATTCTCTCTCTCTCCCCCCTCTGTCCTTCTCCTGCATGTTCTCTCTCTAAAAATAAATAAATTTATAAAAAATGTCTTAATGAAGATACTTTTACAGATGAAAGGCAAAAGTAGTCTGTAGCTCACATGAAAATAAAGCATTTCTTGGGGCAAACCCAAGGACTGACACATACTACTTTGAAAAATTATCCCTTATTAACACTGACTTCCCTATTTTTGTAAGCTCTTAATTTTCTATTATTTATCATTGAATGAAAGAGATCTTCAATTGTTTTTACAAAGATTAGGTCATATATTTTCTGAGCCTCTTTTTATTAAAACATCTTTATTATGTTCTTTGAGACTTTCACATATAAAAAAACAACTTATCTGTATATAAAATTTCTGGAGGAACATGTGTATTATATATGACAAAAACTTGATATCCTTTATATAATATTACGGAGTATTCTTAATAAAAATGATACACCCTTACAAAAAATAAAACAAAATAAGATAAGAACAGACAATTCATGGGATGCCTGGGTGTCTCAGTTGGTTGAGCATCCAACTCTTGGCTTCAGCTCAGGTCATAGTCTCAAAGTTCATGAGTTTGAGCCCCACATTGGGCTCTGTGCTGACAGTGTGCAGCCTGCTTGGGATTCTCTCTTTCCCTCTCTCTGCCCTTCCCCCACTCATACTGTCTCTGTCTCTAAATATACTTTTAAAAAGGGAATAATTCACTAATGAAGAAATGCAAATGTGTAAGAACTATTTGAAAAAAAGAAGTTTAACATTTTTAGAAAATAATAAATATAATTCTCTCTGTGTCAGAGATACAAAAATTTGGGAAGAATAATAATTATTGGTGACATGAGGAAACTTACACTTTGATGGAAGTATTAAAAAATCTTTCTGGGGGGCAAATTGAAAATTTGTACAAAAGCCTCAAAAAGTGTGACCCCAAAATTCTACACATAGAACTGTATTCTAAGGAAAGAACAAGATGGACCTGCAAAGATGCATTTAGTGTAGGTTTATCACAGCAATGTTTGTATCAGAAAAATTGGAAAACAACCTACATGCCCAATAATGGGAGATTGGTTATATCAAGTATTATACCCCTAAAATGGAATCCCATGTAGCTATTAAGACAATGTTATTGACACATGTTTATTAATATATAAACTGATTATAACATACATTGTTGAGTGAACCGTAACAAGAGTCTACAATCTGGAGTCAAATTGCCTTGGCTTCAATTCCGTACCTACAGCTTATTAGCTATGTGACTTTGGGCAAGTTTTTAGTTTCTCTGCACCTCAGTTTTCCCATCTATGACATTAAGAAAATATTAAATCCTGAGGCACCTGGGTGGCTCAGTCGGTTAAGTGTCTGATTCTTGATTTCAGCTCAGGTCACGGTCTCATGGTTTGTGGAATCAAGCCCTGTGTCAGGCTCTGTGCTGACAGTGTGGAACCTGCTTAGGATTATCTCTCCCTCTGCTTCTCCCCTGCTTATGCTCTCTTTCGCTTTCAAATAAATAAATATACATTAAAAAATACTAAGTCTTACTGTCAGAGTTGTTGGGAAAATTTAATATAGATTTTAAAACTGTGCCTGGCAAGTAATAAATAAGTGTTCAGTAGATGTAGCTGCTATCACTACTCCTATTACAATGATACATTTCATGATATAAAGTACACATATATTAAAAAGCACTGGAATATAGTATTTGAAAATATTTTGATGTGAAAACCAATATCT